CAAATTTTTTTTATTTAATAAGGCTGTTTAAACAAAAATTAATAATTAAACGACAAAATGAAGCCGTTTTAATGCACAAAACAAGTCCCTTTTTTTTGAATAAGGCTCTTTAAACATCAAAACCAGTGATTTTGTCGTTTAATTTTTTTTTTTGTTTAAACCGCCTTATTAAAAACAAAAATAAGGACTTGGAGAGGGGTTAAAAAATTTAATAAAAATAATAAAAGCAATTACATATTTTTTTGTTGCATAATTTGCCGTTTGGCTTCCATTGTGTACTACAACTGTTTTCGATTTTGTCGTTTAATTCTTTTTTGTTTAAACATACTTATATAAAAAAATAAGGACTTGGAAAGCTGTTTAAAAATTGGTTAAGAATAATAAAAACAATTAATTTTTTTGTTGAATAATTTGCCATTGAGCTTTTCTGCGCATTAAAACTGTTTCTGATTTTGTCGTTTATTTTTTTTTTTGTTTAAACAGCCTTATTAAATAAAAAAATTAGGGAATTGGAAAGCGGTTTAAAAATTGGTTAAAAATAATAAAAACCATTAATTTTTTGTGACATAATTTGCCGTTTGGCTTGTTTTGTGCACTAAAACCGTTTTTGATTTTGTCGTTTATTTGTGATAAGGAAGCTTCTTAATTCTTTGAATTTTAACCATGGTGATTATTGTTTGTTTAAATTTCAAAGTGGTACATAAAGCAATTTTATTATAATTTTTTTCTTCTAAAAATTATTGAACAATGAAAAAAAAATATTGCAAAAAAAATTAAAATATTTTTTTCAAAAGTAAACTAGCTCATCTTGGAACGGCAAAAAAAACGGCAAATTTGGACATAAAGCCTAGTGTGTTGTCTTTGAGTTCGTTGGAGGGGTGCTTCGCTAACTTTGTATAAAGTTAGCAAAACACCTTATATCTAAAAAAATACAAGAGCGACAAAATTATTTTTTCCACAACTAATTAACGGCAAAAAAAACGCCAAATTCATGGGTATACGCGACGTTTTTTTCTTCATGTTGTTTCGCTAACTTTATACATATACGAAATCGCCATTAGTTCTTATATCGGAATAGTATTTTAATAAACAACGTATGTCTTTGTGTTGAAGAATTGTTTTCTTAATAACAAAAACAAAAGAAATGAGTTAACGACATCAAATAGTTTTTGTTACTGCAAAAAAATGTGTGTTGTTTTATATGTATCTCTTTCGGCTTAACCGCCGCAATCGCGTGCTGTTGCTTTTTTCTGTGACGGCAAAAAGGGCGTAGCACCAAAATCACCTATTTCATTACAGATGGGCAAATAAAACCACCAGTATATTATACCTAACATCAATCTTAACTTGTTCATTAACCTTCACGTTAGTATCTACAGTAAGTGCAGTGTTAATAAGAAAAAAAACGCCTACTGAAAGATTTACTTTTGGCCGTTTACGCCTTTTTGGCAGTTATGCCGCAGTTACCACTTATAGATATTAAAAAAAAAAATCCGGTGGAAACCGGTTTGGAAAAACCGAATCAATCACCCTAGTGCCAATCCACTTACACTAACCAAACATTCATCTGAACCACTACTAAACTTTCAGTGTTTATATATACACAGGACTGTAACTGTCTGCTTGATCATAAATTAATTTTATATATAAATATTGGTGTTGGACAATATCGATACCAAAAGTACTCAGAACTCGATTCTCAAAAGGATCGACAGCACCCGATTTTTGAAAGTATCGATACTGAATACTCCAAAGAACTCAGTACTCACAAAAGAACTCGAAAGTACTCAGTACTCAAAAAAGGAGCTCGAAAGGAGCTCAGAACTTAAAAGAACTAGAAAGTACTCAGTACTCAAAAATACTCTGTTCCAATAATCGCTTTGATACACTTACTCAGGATCGATTCAAAGTACTCAGTATTAAGTGTCGAATAGACTTAAAAAGTACTGAGTTTTATTTACATTTAACGGTATTCAGAAATGATCGTACTCAATTTGCAGTTTCAATAATTTTGAAGTACAATACTTGTACCCAGTAAAGTTAGCCATTCATTTGACGTAATTTAGGATTCATATATTAATTTGAATAAAGTACTGCCAGCTTGTGAGATTTCTACACTAAGAATTGAAATGTTACCAACATATGTATATTTAAAGAAAGTACTCAGTACTCTGAAAAATACCCGATCCCTAAAAGTATCGATACTAAAGAACTCGATCCTCAAAAGTACTCGATACTTCCCAACACTTATAAATATGTATTGTATTTTGAAGTGAATTGTTGAAATACATGTGTTATTTATTTTTGTACCGGCAACAAAATATTAGAAAAATATTTCTAATACCATATTTTTCTTGTTTGTAGCGCATAATTTTGAATTTTGAGTGCATGAGATTCCAAGCCCTAGTGATTAGTATGGAAACATAAAACAAAATAAAGTAACACTAACAAAGTATATGCACAATGACAGTATGAATTAAAACAAACACATCATTTTGACATGAAGAATCACCGAGGCAAAAATCTCAGCTGCTTCCGTAACACCACCTCAAGGCGAATTCATACAAGCTGGTGTTGCCAGAAAATATGCAACTAATATTACAACCATTTGCAGTAGCAAGTAAAAACAGCGCTCTTCTAATGAAATTAAAAATTTTCTGATGCTGACCCTTCGAAATTTTCTGCTGGGATGTCCGTTACATCCTAGCCAATTTTATCCATACCGAGAGCAAAGATGTTTACACATAAATGAATTACAGAATGTCGAAGCCCCGGGTAAATAATGTTGCCACTCAAACTTTAGTTAAATCTAAACAGTATGTGAAATTGACGTGATTGACGATAAAATCTAACTCACGCACGTTTACGTCAGCTAAAATTTTAGTCACGCACGATCACGTAGGTCACGTGATTTTCTTTCAAACCCGTTCACGTTCGCGCGTGAAAAAGTGTGACACAATGTGTCACGTAGACAATAGCGTGTTTTCCCATTAACGCTGCGGTAAGAAGATCCCTGGACTCGGCACTCTTGTGACCATGTGTACAGACCAAATGTAGAAGGGCATGTCTCCACTTGGTGTAAAAAGCTGGCTCGAAGGACCAGTGCTGCCAGATGGATAAATTCGGTTTCATTTGGAGTATTTATTTCCCTTATGACGATGGGACCGTTTCGGAGAACAAATTACCATTTTGGCTCCACGTGGGGCTGCCTTTTATTTAAAAGGCCCCAATCTATGCAAGATAAATGAGGTTATCAGGTAAAAAGAGGATATATTTTCTTAAAAAAAAAAATACTTTCTACCTGCGCACCTTCGTCGCTTAGTTTCGCAAGTGCTCCAATTTAACATTGCCTAAATTACTTTAGGGATCCTGGCATGTCTTTTTTATATATTTACATTTGTATATGATTGAATAAATCACTTAAATGGTACATACCTTTGGCTTCGTCATCTGTGCTTACTGTGGCCGTGCCGCCGCTTCTAGCCGTGCCTGCACCCGCATCCGCTGATGCCGAATCTTTCGCATTATCGATATTTTTTTTTGATGAGGTCGACGTTGTAGTAATGCCACTCACTCTGGGTCGTCCACCGTCAAAAGCACGACCGGAAATACCAACGTTTCCTACCATACCACTAGCACTACATGCACTACCGCCTCCAGCAGATGAGGAAGACGAAGAGACAACTATTCGGTGTTGTGTTGGGGACTTTATTGCCACATTGCTCCAAGACGGTGCGAGCTTTAAAATATCCGTGGCGTCTACTGTATTACCTTGTAACTCCTTTTACGAGTATTTGATTACCAAGTTGTCAGTTTAATAAAAAATCGGTGTTGGTTGCGATTTTTCAGTGCAGTGACATCAATGAATTGTGGTTTCGAAAATATGAATTTGCATTTAAACATTTTTGTACACATGTGTACATACGTTTGCATAGCAAAATATTTTAAAAGTAACAAGAAGAAACAAATTTGATTAATAGTGTTGAATTCCACTGCTTGATAATATTTAAAAATAGATAACATAAAAAAGCTTTTAAATAAAAATAGTATTTCTCGGTCCCATAGAATTCGTTTTGATAACTTTTGATTTTGAAATTTTAGCAAAAGTCATTATAAACAATTTATGAGATTGAAAACGAAAAACGTGTAGCGCATGCAATACAAAGAATTAGAACTAATTGACAATAGTCAAACTACATAACATAGACCTAAAATTTCTACAGCGCAAGTACAAAATTTGAGATCGATTTTAAGCGATCGTTATTCATATACCCCCATATGTAAATACATACATATGTTACTTTTACTTTTCATATCTATTCAAGTCTGTTACATGCACCCAAGGCATAACAAGGTAGAAGTGATTTCGACATTTCTCTCTTTTGAACTGCGACTAAAATGTCAACTCTTAACCCTATACTATTCAAAATTTGAATTTTTTTAATATAAATTTTCAATTGTGAGCTGTGCGACTGATTTTAAATACATAATAAAATGAAAAGGAATTACGGGCGGTATGTTGTGTTTGACAAGAGCCAGGACAACAAACTTATTTTAAAACTCCGAAGTATCAATGCTTCATTAGGAGACTCTTCACGTGTGCGCGAAGACCATTTTAGTGCCAGTGACTTTATTTGTTGCCCATCGCCGCCGGGTATTTCTAAGCGGACGCGTTTGTTCCCAGGTGCAGGAATTATTATACCGAATATGAAGAGAAATTCTTCCACTCATATACATGGATAGACCAAATTTCAAATGGTGGTCTAACAAAACCTAAACCGGAATTCCTTGTTGACATAGAGAAATTGAAATTAACTTTTAATAAATTAA